ACGAAAGTTGGTGCGAATTTGTTTTAAAAAGGTTTTTCCACCTTGATAGAGGGTCAAAGTATTTTTTACATAACAAATACTCGCTATCACTGAAATCCTAAACCGGCATTACCCGATTTTCGTTAGCTCTTGTTTTATTGTCTCGTCATTCTTTTTAGTATTTTAAATAAAATCATTCAAAATATTGATGATTTCCCGTAGCTAGGCCATAGTCTTGAACGAGTCTATGTTTAGTCAATTGCCTCCTCGTGATCGATCTGTATGCTACACATCCGTACGCTTGCGGTTACATATTTAAAACAACATCATGTTTTTGGTGGTTTGTTAAGTGCATTTTATGCACCTAACTTTGTTTATGTTATGCATTTTAGTCCTCAGTTTAGTCCTCTATTGCATTTTTATTGTTATTTTCCGTTTCTTTTGCTAATCACGGTTGGAAGTTCTTTCGGGGATAATTTTTAGGCTTTTAGTATGTATTTTTTTTTGTAGATTGTGCATAGTCTTAAAGATGAGAAGAGTGAAGACATGCCTAAGGTGATTAAAGAAAAGAAACATCAAGGGAATGTGGAAGGTGAAGCCTAGAACAAAGAAAAGAAGATGATAATCAAGAGCGAGGAGGAGAAGCCATTAGAAGAGAAATCGGAAGGACGTAGTTGCTGCCCACGCTTCACGGGCGTGAAAGTCTGCTTGGTGAACGCGGAGAAAACACCCTAATTCTTGATGGAAGTTTCTGCCACGGTTTCACGGGCATGAAGATTTCTTCACGATCGTGAAACACTGCTCCTGAAACTAAGCTTTATTTTTTGTTTCACTTTCGCGGGCGTGAAAGTCGTCTAGACTTAATTTATTTTGGGCTTTTCCTGTGGGTTTTTTTGGATTGTATTTTAAAACCCTTTTAAGTTTGTTTTGAGGACGACCGTATTATTATTCTTAGAATATGATACCTGCATTTTGGTAGGCTCCTTGGTCGATTTCTTTCAATCTTGGGGAAGAAGACCCAGTTTGAAGCTTATGCAATTGGATACCGATTGACATCTGGTTTTTCATTCTTTATTGAGTATCTTCTTCCCTACCATTTTAGTTTATATTTGATTAACTATTGATTTGTTTGAGTATTGATATCAATCGAATCGTTCTTGAGTTTATTTTCCTTAATCCTTCAAGAATCTTGTTTGCTTGCATTAATCTTTGATATTCTCTATACTTCTCCATCCCTTACTCCTTCAACTCTCTTTCCATTTATGTATTTCTACTCCTTGCGCTCTAGTTTAATTTCTACACTTTCTATACCCTTTTAATTTTCTGCATCTCTTGTGATTTTCTGCACACTAGGTTAAGTTACAATTTTCTACACGTGTTCATTTAGTGTTCATCGTTCTTCTTTTATTTTTGTCAATGTTAATCATTAACAGGGTGCGTCTAACGTAGTTACCTTGCTAGTTTAGATTTACTTTGTCTTTAGTTTTGTTGGAACCTAATAAATAACTTGTCGCTCGATGTTGATTTAGAGTTCGTTCTATTGGGTAATCGTCGCTTAGGATCAAAGTCTTGGTATTGATTAATTGTTCTTAAAACGGATGTTGGGTTTTAATCCATTTTGATTCTAACGAAGGTTGGATTTTATTTAATTGGTTTTTAACAAAGCATCTAGTTTTTAACGAAAATAAAAGTCTAGTCTTTACTTGGATCAAACTGATCAATGACAACGGTCCTACCATGCAAATAGTTAGGGATGGTGATTGGGAAAAATATTCGTTTTAAATCCTAAAGTTTCTTCCCAACGTACATATATTGTGAAAGTAAATATATGTATTGGTTTAGAAAAGCTTTTCCGCCTCGAAAGAGGGTTGAAGTAGTTTTGCGTAATGAATTCTCACCATTACCAAAATCTGAAGTTCACATTTCCTAGTGTTCTTTAGTTGTCGTTGTCATTTGTTTTGCTTTATTTTGCTTCTAATTCCTTCTTGCCTTCCTTCTTCCCTTAATCTCGTTTATTTTATCTCTAATTAGTATAATAACCAAATCAATTATCCGATCCACATAACTAGGTCATAATTAGTAAGTGGTTAATGTTTAGACCGTCACCTCCTTATGATCGACCAGTATCCAACATTACCCATACGCTTGTGGTATAAATTCTAAAACACATCAAGAATCGTATCCATGGGAACTAGACAATCAAGACATTATCGTTTTCATGAACATCATTTTACAAGTTTTGATTAGCGAGAAAGTAAATAAGTTGGTTGGTTTGTTGGTGTAAATAAGTTTAATAAAAGAATATCGATAAAAGATAAGATGTAGGTATGGATTTTTCCTAGATTTCATGGTGAACACTTGATCAGGAATAGTGCTTACTATATTAAGAGGGAGTGGTCACTCCCTTTCGAGAGGTCAAGTCACAACAAATACTGACACCTCTCGTCAAAGTGTCGAATATTTAACTTTACAATCTTGTCAATGATGACCCTTAATGAATCTTCTGAGGTTCGATGAAATGTGTAGACATAAATACTCTAAGTGTTTATGATACACCAACTAGCTTGCCCATTACTCCAGTGTGTTAGAGTCTATCTCACTGTTCAAACCCCACTCTTGTTGGTGTTATAAGAACCCTCTCGAGTTCCTTAACATCACCCACTCTCATGTTACGACATCCTACACATCTCTGGGTTGAAGACTAGAATTCAGACACCTTCATGTCATCACCTTGTCCGCATCATTGGGAGTTATCTAAAAAAATTGACCAAAATGTAAAACTTAAACAAATCAAGATTACTCAAGCACCATTGTACTCTCCACCCCTACATCTTGAAAGACATTTATACTACTAGAAAGGTTGAGGAAAACATAAAAATGAAGATTACAAGAAGACATCTTAAAAGATTTAACTTGAATAAAAAAGTGCAATGGTGGGATAGTGGTCAGGTGGCTGAGGCCTGAAAGTGGGTGGTTATGATGACAACAATAAGGGCATGGTGTTTAGTGGTGGATTGGGGTAGGGTGGGGTGCAGGTGAGTGATGATTGTGAATGCGGCAATAATGGTGTGGGAGTGGGGTTAGGTTAGGGGCGAGGCGGTGGGGATGGGTGGCAGTTGTTATGATGACAGTAGTGGGATGGTTGTCGGGTGACTGAGAGTGGGTAGGTATGACGACGACAGTAGCGACATGGTGATTAGTGGTGGGTTGGGGTTGGGTGGGGGTGAGTGACAATAATATTGGTATGGTGGTAAGTGGTAGGGTAGGGTAGGATGGGTGGCGATGATAGTAGTGGTGTAGTGGTAGTGGAGGTTTAGGGGTGGGGCATGACAAACAATAGTAGCATGATCGTGGTGGATGGTGATGGAATTCAATTTTTTCCATTATGTCAAGAAAAGAAATGATGAATTTATTAATTTGTGTAATTCAATGAAATTTGAATGATTCAATTCATTTCAAAAAATGAACCAAATAAAAGAATTGAAATTTGGTCAAAAGAATTTATTATTCCAATTCCATCAAATTCTTTCGAATACCGCGAACCAAACGTTCATTATGATCATCAAATACATTCAATTATGAATTTTTATTCATCTAAGATTATTCTTTTTATGACAAGCAAATAAACATAACACATTTATTTAATTCAAAAAATTTCATTGAAATCACAACAAAATCTAATAAATTCAAATAATCTTGCTTTTAAGAAAGAAAAATAACTATTATCATTTATAATTGGTACAATTCAAAATAAATTCACTCACCTTCATAACTCATTAATTTACTTAAGAATATATTTACTTGTAACATCGTATATTCATAAAATAAATAAACGAATAATAATAATAACATATATAAAATATTAATGTTTGTTAGGTTTTACAGAGGATGTCGAAAACCACCTATGACTACCATAATGCATGTATAAAATTAAATGGATGGTGTCTGATTGGTTTGAGTTTGGACTCCAAATGTCAAAAGTGTGTTGAGGTCTCAGGTTCAAATTCGAGGAGAAAAATAAAAATCCTCTTATAGTCGCGTAGGTTCAAATGCGGTGACTTTGGGCTACCTGCAAAGCAGGTGGTCGCTCTATGATTAGTCGGCTCGCATAGCGTGTTGAATATATAGGTTAATAAAAAAAATACATGCATAAAAATGAAAACTGCATAAACTTGAACATTAATATGGCCGATAACAATTCATTTACTTGTATTTTTTTTAATAATCAAGATCAAATAACGACGTATTTATATCGTAGATTGTTATGTCAAACAAAGTATATATATAAAAAAACACGTATGATTATAAATTATATGATTAAAAGGGAATTCAATGCATCGTCAAGTAGATGCAAAATTTAACGACAATGTTATCATGTATAAGAAATATTTATCAGGCATAGTTCATAGCAAACCATACACACACAAAAAATGTAAATTCATGGAGTGATGCTTACTTGAATTGCAGTAGCAATTGATGACAACAGACAGAACAACCATTTAGTAATGGTGAATAACAACAACCACGTTGTCGAATTATGAATATATGTACTGATAACGTGTTATAGGAAAACCAAACAGTACAACAATTAAAAAGAGGAAGGAACCTATAATTCTCATTAATCTTTAACCCTTTATTGGGATGTTTGAGATTGCTTACAAAAATAACTTATTGACTTATTTTGATGTGGTACCGGTAATAAGCACTTTTGAGTGTTTGGATAAACAGCTTATACCGGTGTCAAACCGGTAATAAGGAGTTTTTGAAGAAGTTAAACCATTCTAACTTATAATAAGTTGATAATTTTTTTTTTCTAAAAAAACATAAGTTGTTTCAAATAAACAATCTTAAACATCCCTAAAAGTAAAACACATAATTTTTCATCAAACCAACGGGCTTCAATTCCTAAAAGATTTAAGCCCAAATAGATAAAAAGCCCAGAAGATTCGTTCATTACAAAACCCAAATCAACAGATAACAGAACAGTCAGAACTCCATCTCTCCATCTCTCTCTCTCTCTCTCTCTCTCTCTCTCTCCCCACAGTTGACACAGGAAGTATCGATATATCGGGTTTAAGCTGTAATCACAGGAGGATTTCTGATTGTTTGAATTCAATCATCTGCTCAAAGATTCCAAAGGTATAATACGAGTTTCCGATTATCAATGGCTGTTCATGTCTCTGTCGCGATTGATTACCGTCTTTACGTTGTTTTGCTTCAATTTACTCTGTCTCGCTTTTGATATAGTTTTCAATTAAATACGAGCTCTGATAGGAGACAAAATTTCGTATATAAAATTATTAGTTTTGATAAAATAAGTAATCGATTTGGAATCGAAGTTGTTCATGTCAAAGCACAGGTAATAGGGTTAGATTATATGGTTTGATTTTGTTGGCTCATATGAGAGTTATTTGTTGCTTCTTGTTTCATTTGAGGATTGATAGGTTACATTTTAGGTCCAAGAATTCATAGTGTTGCTAGAAAACAATGGATACAGAAGGACTTTGGTGGTTGTTGTATGTCCCTTTCAATCAACAAATCACATAATAGTTTGTTTGACTTTTAAAGTCAAAACTGTGGTTACTTACAGAAGAGGGAGTAAAGCTTCTGAAGGTATTATCAATTAAATTGGTATGAAAAATGCATAGTTACCTTATCCCCATTCATATATTTTGATTCCCTTCTCTTTTTAGTGAAAATTTACATGTTATCATGTCTGAAATTGTTGATTTCTGCTGTAGAAGTTGACTTTATCTATGTTGACTTCTGTCTTAAATGGTTCTAAAGGGTTTCTTAGAGAAATGGGAGTGCATAATCATGCTAATTAAAAGGTATTTTGTATATGCTTGCTACCCTAATATGCCCCCTTAAATCCCCAAGAGTCATAGAATATGGTAAATTGATAATATGACAGTATTGGTGCCTTTTTCTTCATTTAAGAACTGTTATATGTGAATATTTTGAGAACCATGACAATCAAGTCAATCAACTATTCATGATGAATGTACCTATATATTCATCATGAATATCATGTATCTTGGTTATTCATGAATAGTTGGTTCTCTGGCCTAAATGCCATCAAATTCCTCAAACATTTTGTCATTGTTGCATGAGGGTTTGTAGACTTCAATCTTAATCTCTTGAGTTTCTACAGAAATCAAAAGTTGTGAAGAAGATAAACGAGGGATGGCCAATGAGCAAGAGAAGAACTTAATCGAAATCTTAGAAGAGAATAACCCAATCGACATTAACAAGTACACGAATTATGTCCAATCGCCGCAATGTGGGGCCATTGCCACTTTCTATGGGAACACCCGCGACACGTTTGACGGTAAAACTGTAATAGAACTAAGATACGAAGCTTATGTGCCAATGGCCATCCGTTGCCTCACCTCCATTTGTTCATCAGCCAGATCCTTGTGGGATCTCAATGCCATTGCCGTGGCTCACCGGCTGGGCCCTGTTTCTGTGGGGGAAACGAGCGTGTTTGTTGCTGTTTCCTCTGTTCATCGGGTTGATGCATTAGATGCTTGCAAGTTTGTGATTGATGAGATAAAAGCATCGGTTCCCATATGGAAGAAAGAGGTGTACTCAAATGGAGAAGTGTGGAAAGAAAACTTGGAGTTTCTTGAGAGAAGACAGGAGGTTGGGAAAGATTTGAAAAGGGTTTGCTGCAAACCAAAAGTGAAGGTCGAGGAGGAGGTGGTGGCGGCACCGCTAAAAAATGGTTGCTGCCGACCGAAAGTGAAGGTGGATGTGGTGGCGGCACCGGTAGAAAATGGTTGCTGCCGGCCGAAGGTGAAGGTGGTGGAGGAGGAAGAGGGTGGATGTGTGGAGTCTTGCAATCCTAATCCATGATCTTGAAGAACTGTGGTAAGTTACTTTTGGTTCTCTTCTATGTCGTGTTTGTGATTGTCCAAATCGTTAAATGAAGAATCTTGCATTAGTCGTACAATATTGCTTAACAAAGAGAGGCGGATTCAACCACAAGGGTGGTGCCTGATTGGTTTGAGCTTAGCTCCAAAAGTCAAAAGTACCTGGAGGTCCCAGGTTCAAATTCAAGAAGGAATAAAAATCCCCTTGTGGTCACGGAGGTTCAAATGCGGTGACTGCGGGCTATCTGCAAAGCAGGTGGTCGCCATGGGATTAGTCGGCTTGCATAGCGGGCTGGATATCCAGGTTAATTAAAAAAAAAGGCGGATTCAGGATTTTTCTTGCCGGATGCACAAATTGTAAAAAGTACGACTTTGTTTAAAACGATAAACAAATATTAATTGTAATGAAAAAATTGAAGCGGGTAAACTATTATATTATAAGGGTGAAAGTTAATTGAATTTTCGAAACAAAATCTTCAATGGGTTATTCGTAATCAACCTTCTCTAAAAAGTCATTTTCAGTAGCTATCAACGCTAGCCCATTAAGTCAGTCATATGTCATTGAGGAGCACACATAGGAATTCAACAACTTCAACTTTGAGAAACTTCTTTCTGCAGATGTAATAGTTACAGGAATAGTCAACAAAACTCTATAAGGATTAATAGCATTAGGGAATCAATCTACGTGTTTTAAATACTCTAAAATATTACCGGGTCCCATGTTTTGATTGGGTAAAAGATCTTGAATTAATTTTAGTTCAACATATGGGTCATTCCCATTTAACATCAAATTGGTCTTGTTTTTTAATTGCACTTTTGAAATTAGTATAAGTAGACTTTAAACATGCAGTATCCAAAGAATGCAACTTATCGGAAGTAAATAAAAACCCAAACACATCCTTATGTTCTTGATATTGTTCAAATCTCCTACGTAATAAAGCAATTGCATGATCAACAACACAAAAAATAATTAACTCTAAATGACTTCTTTAAAGATTGTGAAGTAACTTCAGATGCATCACCTGGATTTTCATCAAATTGTTTTTTACTTCGAATTTCACGCCTTTGAGGAAACAATGTATCAATATCCAATTTAATAGAAATTTTCTTTGTTGATTCCATAGCATCTAAAAATCCGGTTTCTCGATATCTCTCAACAAAAAAAAAATAGCCCCTTAACTTGTTCAATAGCAAATCAATTAGCATATTTTTTTATTGTAAATGCTTACTAATCAAATTTACGGCATATAAAATTTCATACCAGGACCACTATTGACACTAGAAACTCAAATTCACCAAATTCATTTTGTGTAAGAGATTTTGCTTCACTTCTGATTTTGGAATCATTATCAATTTCAACTACTTGAAGTAAAACTTCACTTATATCTAGCCCTTGAAATCTTATTGCTTTTACACTATCAATGCGACTCTCCCAACGAGACAATGATTTAACAGTCCATCCTTTTACATTATCTTTAAACGTTTATCATCTTTCAATAGAATTAGCAAATATCGTATAAATACGTTGGGTTATTCCAAAAAAAATCTCCAGCTTTACCATAAGTATTGGTGATGTCACACAAAGTCAAATTAAGACTATGAGAAGCACACGAAGAATAAAATGCTCTAGGATTTATATCTAGGAGTTTCTTTTGCACTCCGTGATGTTTTTCTTTCATGTTTGAATCATTATCATACTCTTGTCCACATACATTTTATATATAGTCCAAGGCACTTTAATTCAACTTGTAAAACATCAAAAAGAACCTTGGCCTGTGTTATTATCTACCTCTAAAAATCCTGAAAGGATTCCTCAATACTAATAGATTTAGAAGAGACATCTACATACCTTAATATTAAAGACATTTGTTCTTGATGACTAATATTAGGAGTGCAATCAAGAAATATTCTGCCTCTTTTACTTTGCTGATAGTTTCATATTCGATTCTCTTAGCAAGCATAATTATCAACTCATTTTGAATTTTATTGCCAAGGTAATGTTTATGTATATCATCACTTGTAATACGTTGAACAACATGATCCTGAACAATTGGATCAAATTGAACCAACATTTCAATTGAACATAAAAAAAATTTCCATTGCCGTTTTCAGACTATCGTCTATTACTACCTCGAAATGCAAGATTATATTTTGCAAGAAATTTCAAAATAGATTTTTATTTACCAACACTTTTTCCAATGACTTTTTTCTTTCTTCTATTTGTTTTTGAGCAATTTTGTCAATGGTTTGATTCTTTTGAAGTCTTAAACGCAAATCAAACCAAGTTTTCATATTCATGACATGCTCCACACTTGTTTCATGCTCCTTAAATCTAGTGATAAGATGTGACCGGTCCTTAAATCCTTCATTTGTTAACTCCCTCACGTCTTTTTTTTTTTTTTAATTTTACAAGAAAAACAAAATATTTTGTCGAGCTCTAGTGAACATACAAGCCAATCTCTATCACCTCTTTCTCCATTTGATAGAACTATAGTATAATATGTGGTAGAAAATGGTTTAAATTTATTATCTTTTGGACCTTTTTTAAAAGACAAATCTCTTTTAGGACCTTTTATGACTAGCACATCAATCATTTTAGAATCCAGTACATCCCAATTTATTGGATCAAATATATCGAAACTACTAAAAGGAACATCACCATTATTAACATCATTCATAGCATTAACATCAATACCGTTAGCATCATCTGTAGCATCAACATCAACATCGTTACCATCATTAGCATTAAAATCAATACCACTACCATCATTAGCATTATCAGTAGCATTAACATTAGTAAGATTATCGTTAATATTAACATCGATGGCATTATGATAATGCTACTAATGTGAGTCTTTAGCCTCCTAAAAGGTTAAAGGTTCAAACCTCACAAAAGGTGTGGATAGTGTGTGACTTTATTTGTTCTATTTGTCGTATATAAATATTATATACTTAAAAAAAGCATTAGTAGCATTATCATCCGAAGTAACACTAACATCAACATTGGTGGCATCATCAAAGGAAGATCAATTCTTTTACGACAAAATTATCAATTGCTCCTTTTTTATACTTAATTATTTCTTTAATTCTTTTATACTTTTTACGTTTTTGACATTCAGAATCATGTTTTCTAGCTCTAGAAGACATGATGACTATTGAAAAACTATTAAACCAAGAATGCAATATTAAATTTAAACCAAGAATAGAATAGAATACACCTGCTTTAAGTTCCGTTTCAGCATTTAACAAGCTCAAAATTCCAGTAAGTTTAACTCCAACTTAATCTTTTCATACTGCAAAAAAACAAGCACCACGTATATGTAGGGCTGTAAACGAACCGAACGAACACGAACGGAGGCTTGTTCGTGTTCGTTCGTTTAACTTAACCGAACAAACGAACGAACACGAACGGTAAACGAACGAAAATAATTGTGTTCGTGTTCGTTCGTTTAGAAATCCAATGTGTTCGTGTTCGTTTATGTTCGTTCGTTAACAAGTTAAACGA